GTCCGCAACCCTACTGCCTCCAACTCCGACAATCCGGTCTCAGCAGTTCCAACACCTATCCCACCTCTACCTAAAACCCTATTACACTCTCTACGACCGAAAAGTTCCTACCAACGCTCTAGAGGGGGAGTATTGTGGGACAGATCATAAATGACCAAATAGAAATCCTGCTATATAACCCTACTCAGAAATATTTTAGCTATTAATGTTCACACGAATTGTGCTAGAGTTATCTGATGACTAATCGCTTTGCCAAACTCAACACTTCGCTATCAATATACGTACCGAATAAACGTACTCCGTGCTACACGTCTGCTTCCCTTATAGCTGGGCTATAGCTTAGCTTGTTCTGGGAGTCTAGCTAGATGTTGGAGAATCTGCCATAGAGATTTCTGAGTCGGTCAGGCTTTATTAGAGTAGCGATCCGCTACAAACTGACTTTTTAGAAAATAATGAATAACCGAAAATAAAGCCCAAATCCATCTAAGGAATCCCAGCATATATTTTGAAGCACGGTTTCCCCTATTTCATTTACAAAAAGATCCATTCTAAATCGATATATTTTGCTCATTGCCCTCTGACCTATTTGTGATTGGAGTTTATGATCAGCAAGTTGGCTCATATTCGTTGTAGATGTTGAGTCAACGGGCAAGGTGGTGCTGACGTACCTCTACGAGGGTCTCAAAGATCAAGCTATCTGGCAATCAACGAGATTCTGGAATGCAGCCATCTTCATTGCATTGCAGGAGGAAAGATATTGTCGTCAAGTAATTTCAAGGTAAATGTCATGGGTTGTTTCCTTCGAATGCTCTAAGGAAAGCTTTTTAAATGAAGATGATTTAGAGTATTTATGAAAGTTTCGAAACTCAAAGCTCTTGCATATAGAAGACTCCTAATTTTGATAGGAATTTTATGAATTTAATTTATATTTTTTTATTAGTGCACAAGAAACTCAGGAAAGTATCGACGCCGAGGCGGAACTTCAAGACAGTATTGCTTACAACCAATTGAGGTTCCATTACCATTTAAAATTTTTATCTTCCTTGCGTTTATACTGAATGTGATATTTATGAATTTATAAACTTAGTCCAAGTAAGCATTTTAATAGTTATACATATAAATAGAAATAACAATTTGATCGGCTAATGGAAAAATATAATCTAAAACCTCTTTAGATCTTAAACTTTTACATTTTTGCTAAGTCTTTTTCACATATTTCTTGAAGGAACTAAATTCATAGGATTTTTTCATTTTCACTAATAAATAATTCATATTTTGCTGTTCCAGTTACTAGGCCTTTAAAAATAGTCTTCGGTCTAAAACGGATTGAAAATGAAATAAGAAAGTTGAGCCCAAAATTAATTAAATTAACTTCAATGTTTGTAGCAAATTCGCTTGGAGAATGTATTCCTTCGGATTAAGCAAAGATGCTTGTCTCGATTTCCTGCGAAAACAAGTTGAAGATACGTCTCTTTCAAAAGGTGAGACCTTCATTTAATTATAAACTTCATTATTCAGTATATGATTTCTTTGCTAAATATCCATATGAAGCGAATTTGGTTAATTTTGAACCAAACATTTTTATCTACCATCCTTGCCAAATCACTGTACTTCAATACTGTTGCGTCGACTAATAGCTATAATCACGGGTCTGTTCAGGGTGGGTTCTTACGGTTCAACTATCCCAGTTTTTACCAACTTTGATTGCAATTGGGTGAGTTTTCATCTCATTTTGGCCGATACACAGCTATTACTACTAACTACGCGGGTTTAGCTCTTCAAATAAGCTAAAGTATTATTTAATTTCATCCACAGAGTAATTTCGATCTTTGCATTTCATGATAAATATTTGGGAGATTCATGACAGAGGGAGAATAAAAACTATCACAATTTACTGACTTTGCACACTGAGCTATCTATCTAATCATTAAAGATGAGGTTAAATAGGAATAGGTAAATTTGTGAAAAGGGAAAAGTCAGTCTATTAGAAGATAAAAGTTATGAATGAAAGTAAACAATTATCTGTTCTTATAGATCGACTCTTGGTTAGTCAGCCAAGCACTAGGAAATGAAAGTATATGAAAGGCATATGGCTAAAATTAGATAGCATTTAATTTGTCATTACAGCTTAATTAATCAAAGTTACCAATAACTATTCCAACAAATGTATGCAATGAACCAAGAAACACGTAATTCATCATGGCTGAATCCCTATGCGTTTCCAAAATTTATATCCCGGTCACCACCAATTTCAAAAACTTAATTATCTCGACCACACGGTGGCACTTAATCCTATGGTGACCTCAGTTTCCCAAGAGCCATCGTGTGACCTCAAGTAGTTTATTTTAATTAGTGGGAGAAAAGATGCTCTAGAAACTGCAGTGTTACCAAGACTAGCCAAAAGGTATCTTTTGTGTGCTAGAATATTCTGTAAAGTATGGATGTGTGTCTGTGAAGAGGCCATTCAACTAGTCTGTGATCACTATTTTGCAAAGTAGAGTAACAATGCTTATGTTTAATGACTAAACATGAGCTTCATGTGTTTTCTCCAAGGTCATTTTTTCCTACTGCTTGGTTTCTCCACAAATGTTTACCCCATCCCCCACCCCCTCAAACAAATTGATGATTTCGTGAGCATTCATTCCTTCTGGTCAATAAGTGCATCAACTGTTACATATAATAATTATTTCATTTTTTTCAGGAAAAGAGAAATTAAATTTATAAATTCCGTTCAGAAAAACTGTAAGATTTCTCATATTATTGAGTAGTTAGCACAAATTTTCTGCTCTTATGATCATCACTATATGAATTAACTTGAGTTCTATACTCTCCTAGAGCTTACGTTTAATTGATCTTATGAAACGTCCACGCTAATAAGCATAAATATCTGATAGACGCACCACTCCCTCCCCTCTCCCCAGAGTAATTCCCCTAAAAATTAACTAACTGCTATCAAAAAACAACAGTTCCTGTCATATCAAAGGACTAGGAGCTCATTGATGGAATGAAATACATATCGCATCACTGAAATGGGTTGGGAGAGGGGGCGGGGGGTGAACAGGAATTCTAAATTTAAAAAAAAACAGAAAATTAACATCAACCCAGAGAGAATGGAATAGAACTCGCAATAAAAAGGTCAAATTAAGTTGAAGTGACTGCTTTCTCCATTGTTGGCCTAATAAGCAACGCAAAGAAAATCACCTGTCACTTAAGACGGATGAAGCAAAACGAATCCTAACATGTGCAATGAAGTGAGTAACTTCGAAATATTGTATTATTCCACATATTTCTTCTTTTTAATCATAAATTCATTGACGGATATAATAGCAGTGGCGGATGAATGGGGAGGGTACATTATATTAATTTATTTCAAATGGCAGGCGTTATGATAGCTATCA